CAAAAGGGGGACCAACGCAATATTAGGCAGGTGGTAATAATATTAAGCCTACGTGGCATATAATAGGAAAGTAAGACCCCGGGACATGAAAGTTGTAGTGGTTGTTTCACAAAGTGAAGCTTTTGTCAGAAACATTCACATTCTCTGCAATATTGGTTGCACAGATAGTTGCAAATTCCTGAGGCATGGTTCATGCTCTGTTTGTTTCTTTGTGTTTGTGTTTTTGTTTTTCGAACTTCCATTCGCCGATGGGTTTAAGCACTGATAACTACTTGGTTAAGCTTAAAAACTTTGTTAGGTTTAGTCAAAGCACTCAGTTAAATAAAAGATTGTGATCTGGGGGAGAACAAAGAAACAAACATGCAAAAACACTTTTAAACCAGGCAGTTTCATAAACGACAAGGTTGGAATGACAGACTTGGTCCTTCTATATAACATAACCCGATTTGTCACTCACAGCTACTAAAGGACATCTTGTGCCGAGGTGTGACACTGCCAGCTCTGACAAAATGACATTACTTGATGCCCTGGGAATGTGAAAGGGCTGACACACAGACTGTACCTGTATAGGTGCGATAACTGACACATTAGCTTTTACATCTACAGTGGTTTAGACAGTCTGAACACAAGCTAAATTATAGTGTCATTTAAACTTGCGCTAATTGGCATTTTATAAATAGTACCTGTAGTAATTTAAACGACTTGACTTTACACCGATTACTATCGTCTGGCTCATAGCGTTAGTTTTATGTCTGACGCTTGGCTGTTTTGGCTCAGTGTCAGCTCTCTCATTAAACTTGTTTACCGTGGCAACAGGCAGCCTTTTCCAGCAACAAGCTCTGGCAAACCCAGTGTGCACTACCTGCGCAGCACCAAACAGCAGACAGACCAAGTTTACCACCAGCTGACGAACTCAGTGGCACATTTAGCTGCTAATGAGTCCGTGCTTGCTGGATTAATAAAAGCTTTTTGTTTGATGGCAAGTTTCTCCAATCATATTACTGACACCGTCTGATTTGTTGCCCAAGTCGGCTGCGGATTCCTGCAGGAGTAAAAACAAAGATGTTTTTAGTTGATTTTTTTCAGCATCCAACCCGAGATGCCTAATTGACCCGGGTCACTGATTTATTGAAGTCATTCTGCTGCAAAAACCTTGTTGTGAACCTAACTGGCACCGAGACAAGGAATAATGGAGTGGACGAAATGAGTGAGTTCAACCAAGAGTCACTCGCAGCATCAGACAAATGAGGACATCAATTCTCAGACTGAATATGAGTCACTCCGCAGCAGAACAATAAACATAATGAAAAATGACACGCTTAATGTGACTCTTTGTCTCTTCAACACACACCCATACTCTCCCATAATTATTAGTATTTATTGATTTGTCTCTAACGAGCTGCCAGAAAGTATTGCCTTACAATCTGCCAGTTATGAAAAACACTTGTCTATCTTTGAGTTGTCCTTCTAGTCGCCAGCCTTGTGCGCTTCATCTTTTTCTGTGTGAGGATTCATCCTGCTGCAATTTCCAGTGCGGTACCTCGGGATCTCTTTGGGTATCTGCTGATACAGATTACCGATCTGATACCAGAGTTAAATGAATAATTGATAAGCTATATTCCTCCTTTATTTGCATCACTCACATTTCAGCTCAGAATAAGTTGGACTGCTGTTGCATGAATGAGTTTAATGCTTTTTCACAGTTGTGTAGAATCGTGAAGCCCAGTTTATATTGTCTGTTGAGCCTCTGCAACGGAAATGATCATTTTGAACTGTGAAGTTCGCAGGTCCTTCTTTAAAGGCTGTCTCTTGTCTTGTAGTCAGAGAGAGCCTGCAACAAAATTCTCAAAATGTGTCTGCTGCTATGACCCATGTTCACTAATGAACCAATGACAACGCAGCATGAACTGACAAATCCATCAGCTCGACAGCGGCACTTGTGAAAAATCTAAACAAATCATAACAGATTTCCAATCCAATCTACCAATTTAGGATTATTGGGGTTGCCGGAGCATATCCTGGCTGATACAGATCAAGAATAGATGGAAGTTACAATACAAAGCCTGGGATTCAAACAACAAAGAAAATGTATGATTGTGGCAGCAGAAGCCTGGTTTGGATCAGGTCCCTCTGAAGTTATTACAACTGAGCTAAGTGTGACGTGTAATGAAAAGAAATGGCAAAGGAACAAAGCCTTCAGCCTACATCAAAGGTGTCACGGTCCTGGGTCGGTGACCAAGTGTTTTGATTTTTGTATTATTATTAAGCTTTTATTACGTCACGATTTATCGTTACCAGTCTTTTGGTTCATGGTTCTGTGATTTCTAGTCCTTAAGTTTAGTCTTTCTGTTCCTTCTGCTTCCAAGTCAGTCATGTTTCTGTGTGAAACCATGTGTTTGAGTCGGTGTGTTTCCTGTTTTACTTTGAAAGTCTGCGTCTTTTGTCTGTGTGTTTAGTTTTGCTTTCCTTGGCTGTATCCCAATTCAGGGTCTGCAGCCTTAAAG